AGGCTGGAATTTGGAAGGATTTGATTCAGACAAAAAGAAACGCTAGGCTTGAGCATGAGGAAAGGAAGGAAATAAGGAAGTGATAGAGATTTTTTAAACTGTGTATCTCTTGAGTACAACTGGAAGTTGGTAGAACATTCTTTGAGGGGGCAGCAAGTTGGGGCTGATATATGTGAAAGGGTCCTGGAAATACATCTGGTGAGAATGTTAAATGGCCATCATATCTAATTGTTCTAGATAAGGCGTTTTGGTTGCCAAAGAACAGAATCCACTCAAACTAACCCAAGGAAAATGGGGATGAGAGAATTACAATATTACAGCAGGAGATCTAGTGTACACTCAAAACTAGTTCATGGGCAGGAAGACAAGGAGCCTCCGGTGACTTCGAGCTACATTGTCCCAGCTTCTTTTCCTCTGACTCATCCTTCCTCTTCCTCTAACTCATCTACTTTGCTTATCCATCTCCTTCATGGTTAAGCTGTGGCTGCCCTGATCACTTCTTTGACATCAAGATCTTTCATTTTCAGCATCAATCCTTGGCTCACTACGTTCTTTCTTCTTTTCTGGTTAAATGTTTAAGGAAAAGAGAAACTCTTAAGTAATTGGCCAGGGAATTCATTAATTGGGTTAGGCAGAGTATCCACTCTAGTTCAACCATCAATTCCAAAACAGGAGCCACCCAGGGGTTTTCCTGTGTTGGGAGACTGAGGCAAAAGGGTCTAAACCAGAAGAGGAAATGGCCTGAAATTTTCTGGAACCATTAGACTTGCAAGAAACAGTCAGTATATTCTATATACATTTGAGAAAAGCCCAGCCTGTTTCTCTGCCTCTAGAAAGGATTTCCTCACACTTCCTTCTGAAAGAGCTGTGGGATCCTGAAAAGCATTTGTCCTAAGCTTAATGTTGATTCCACCACCTCATAAGCTTCAATTTCTCATCTGCAGAATGGAGGTAATAAAGCCCAAGTGTTGGGGTTGTCTGGACCATAAATGAGATAACATAGATGTCATTCCCTGCTTTGTACAAGACAAGGGCTTAGTAATTAGGATTGCTTTCATTTCTTTGGTATGTTATGAATATTTTTATCACAGAAAATTATTCACAATGTATTTTTGCTTACTTTAATTACACAAATGATACATGAATGTATCAATATTTTAAAGCAAACCCTAGATATATCAATCCACTGAAATATTTTACTATATGTCTTTAATAAAGTCTCTCAAGAACACATAACTACAATACCATTATCTCATTCAACACATGAAAATGATTCCTTGATATCAGCAATGCTATGTCTATGTTGGATTTTCTTCTGTAGTCTCAATAATAACTTTCTATGTTGTTTGGTTTGGATGAAAATTCAAAGAGTCCACATATTGCATTGGGTTATGTCTTCCACATTTTGGCCCATCTGTAACTATGTTCCCTGCTTTTTTCTGACATGTATTTGTTGAAAAAAATGGGGTCATGATTGCTATAGAATTTTCCATTTCAGCATTGGGCTGATGTTCTCTTCAAGGCATCATCTAACAGATTCATCTAGCCCCATATTTCTTGAAAATTGGTACATAAATCTGGAGGTTTAATTAGGTTTAGATTCAAATGATTTTTTTTTCTGGCAAAACTGTAGAAGAAAGGTTTTCCAAGTGGTGAGTTTGAAATAGTAGCTCAACAGTTCCTATGGTATTTTGCATCTAGGAACATAAGACTCCCAAAAGAGATGACAGTAAGCTGTTCACTCTGATTTCTGACTCATGCATGAGTGAATCACCTCTACTCAGAGACTTAGTGGTACTTATGATTATTACCTGTCAGAAAATGCAGACAGAAGCCATAGTTACCATTTTATCTTTAACAAATTTATTAGTAATGTCTTCAGTTATTATGTATCTTTGGCTGAAGATGTTCACATACTTTTAATAAAAAAATTAATTCCTTGTCTGACCTACATTTGAGCTAGGAATAAAAATGTTTGAAATGGCTAATGAATAGAGAAGAAACTAGAGGAAAATGGAACTTTTGTATTCTTTTGTAATGTTTAAAATGAAAGCAAACTTGAGCACACAGAATCAGGACTGTGGTATTATTATAGATAGTTGGGTTAGGTAGAAATATTATAGGCAGTCAGATAGGGCTGGGTCCTTGAGTCAGGACAAAGGTGAAACACCACAGCTGCAGCTGGGGAGACACATCTGTTGGAGGCAGGGCCTCAAGATAAAGACAAGATGACCAGACTTGCACACCTACCGAAAGGACAAACACTGGGCCTAATGAAGTCTAGATATACATCAGCCACTCCAGTGGGTAACCAGAGACCTCTGGACCCACCACTTCCTAGGAGAATCTTTGTTCTTTCCATCCACACTTGTTACATGACTTGTTTCCCAATTGGACCACCATTACTTAAGTGACTATACTTGTAACCTTATTGGTTGATCGTGGCTGTGGCGCACATTGTACCCACATGGGTTTTGCTCTAAAAAACTCCTCTGTAAAGAGGGCTCCCTGGGCTACCTGCTCAGGTCCCCTCCCGCCTCTCAGGAGCTTTCCTATCAATAAATATCTTCCTACTCTTAACCTCCGTTGTTCCTAGAATTTGTTCTTTGATTTTTAGAGAACAAGAGCTCGGTGTTAGATCAGACATCTAACAGGTTGGGAGATATAATATTTCATATTTCATCTTCCATGTTATTTCCTGTATCAGTATCATTCTGGAATGTTGGATTTTGGGGAATGTCCAGGGTCGTGGCCCTCTGTTCCCTACCTGAGTTGAGAACACAGTTCTAGATAGAAATCAGACAGATAATGATAAAAATAATCCCTTCTATGTTTGACAAAGCTGCCTGGAGAATGTGACTTGGCCTATAGCAATAATGAACTGACAGACATTCATTTTTTTGGTTTTTTTGTTTTTGTTTTTGCGGTACCGGGGATTGAACTCAGGGCCTTGCACTTGAGAGGCAGGTGTGGTACCACTGAGCTAAATCTCGGGCCTGACACTCATCTTTTATATTACATATACCATTGTCAGGGACAATTAGATGACCACAAGCCTCCCAGAGCCCAATACACAAGCCAGATTCTTTTTTCCAAAATTGCCACTTACTAACTCACTCCCTCTTCCCTGGCAGGAGGAAGAAAGTGAGTGAGCAATCAGGGTGCATCCAAGAGTGATCTAATCAACAAGGAAACAAGTGAAAATATGGGAATTCACTGAAGTCACACTAAGAGTATCTTAAGTAGAACCCAGTTTAAATGCAGCCTTTTCAGCAATGGACAGCTTCACATTTTAGTTGGTCCCAACCATGTTAACTTCTACTCTATAGCAGCTCACATTCCACTGAGCAAATGTTTGTGGAGTGTGTGCCCATCCCAGTGCCCATGGATGCCAAGATGAAAAAAGACACACTGCCCACTAGAGGCCCGTTGTCTTGCAGTTTCCCAGACAAGTGCAAACCAGATAAGAGTGTGGCCCACTAGGCTAGGGATGAGAGGGGTTGTGCTGCTTGACTCTGGAAGAAGAGATGTGCCCAGCTGCAGGGAATTGGTTAGTTGAGAGCCTCCAGCTAATGACGGCTCTCTCTGGGTCCACTTCAGCTTTCAAGCCATGGCCATAATCTCTTGAGTGGTTTCTGCCCCATGACTGGGCCAGGCAGTAATAGAAGTCACACTATTCTTGGGGTGACCCCAGCCAAGGTGGTAGGACAAGTGGCTGGTCATTTCCACCTAAAATAGGGCTCCTCCATTGGGCAATCTATGCTCCCAAACTTCCCAGTGGCCTGGTGGAAGGTGACCAGTGGCCTCAGTTTGCTTGCTGGGACTGAGTGTTTTCCCAGGACAGGACTTTTAATGCTAAATCTGGAAAATATAAATCCAGGCCAACCAGGATGGTTGGTCACCCTCATTGGCGTGGACTTTTTTAGGTCTGCATTAAGGTCTCAGGTCTGCATTAAGGTCGACAGCTTCCTCTGCCCAATCCTCCTTCCTTCCCCCCTTTCCTTTCACAGGTATTACTCTCCAATAAACCTTTTATGCTTTGAACTGTGTCTGCTTCTCAGAATACTGGAACCAAGATAAGGGCGCAAATAGAAACCAGTAAGGACCTGAATGTGCACTTTAAGAGAAGATAAGGCTGAAGGAGAGTAGGAGGGCAAGAGAAAGATTAATTTGACAATTAGAGAGCTCCTCCTGGGGATAACATTTTCAATGGGCCATTTATTCTGCATCCTTTGAAAGAAAGAAGAGGCATATTTAAAATATATTTAATGTTTAAATTTCCTTGAATTCTATTTGAATACTCAAAATGAAAGATTTGAAAAAAACAAAACAAAACCAAGTTCCTCGTCTCGGTGTCTCTCTTTAAACAACGATGTGCTTTGTTATATCTCTGATCTAATAAGGAAAATGAAAGGAGTATGAGCTTTTCTGAGAAGTATTCTTAAAGTCATGAGCCATTGTGAATTGTACAACAGCTGGCTATAGTTCATAACAATGTATTGTATTCTTGAAAATCACAGAGGATGGATTTTAAGTGTTCTTGCTATAAAAAATATAAGTATGTGAGGTAGTGCATGCGTTAATTAGACCAATTTAGCCATTCTATAATGTATATATATTTTAAAACATAATATTGTACACGATAAATACGTACAATTTTATCCATTTAAAAATGCATAAAAATTAAAAAACATCTCTACGCTGAGGGAAAAAAGAGAAAGGGGAGAGAAAGTGCAAGAATGTAGACAGAATGTTATTGGCGGAGAAAGGGGAAGGCATCCCAGGTAGGATGAGGCAAAAGGTAAGCTTGGAGTGTCAAATTTAAGGAGGTACTCACACCAGGGTCATGTGAGTTCAGAGTCAGCGTGTTCATGAACCTGAGAGTGAGCACCTCCTTAAATATTATACCTCAGGTGTCCGACTTGCTTTACCTCAGCCCTGGCTCTGGCATCTGTAATATTAGGCAACTTCTGCAGAACGCTTCCTCTTTCTTGCTCCAGGTACAAAGCCATCGTCCGGCCAATGGATATCCAGGCGTCTCACGCCCTGATGAAGATTTGCCTCAAAGCTGCCTTGATCTGGGTCATCTCCATGCTGCTGGCTATCCCAGAAGCTGTGTTTTCTGACCTCCATCCCTTCCACGAGGACAGCACCAACAAGACCTTCATTAGCTGTGCCCCATACCCACATTCTAATGAGTTGCACCCCAAAATCCACTCCATGGCTTCCTTTCTGGTATTCTACATCATCCCACTGTCAATCATCTCTGTCTACTACTACTTCATTGCCAAAAATCTGATCCAGAGTGCTTATAATCTTCCCGTGGAAGGGAATATCCATGTCAAGAAGCAGGTGGGTGCTTAGGATCGAGTCATTTCCTCCCTGGGGATTTGGGCCCTTCATTTCTTTTGGTCCCCACTGACAAATACAGTACTTAGGTGGCCATGTCACTTGATTTTACAATGAAAGGAGGTAGGATCTGTTTCCAGATGCTTCTTTAAATTCCAATCACATTGTTTGGCTAGGAGGAGAGTTACCATATGCAAAGAAAACAGAGGGAACAGGAACATGATGTTGGTTAAAGAAAAAAGAAGTAAATTGCTTAAGAAAGGCTCACACTGATTTGAGCTCAAATCCAGACAGACTTACTCACTTACCCTCTCTGTGTCTCAGTTTTCTTATCTGTGGCATAGATCCCCATATGGTAACGTGACTGGAGGATTACAGGAGACAACATATGCAATGCCTTGCAGTGTGCACGATGCCCTCCATATGTGCCAGACCCCCATCCCCTATAGACCCCCATAATTTTACCCTTATGGTCAAGTGGTAGAAACTGGGAGTTTTGGCTTTCTTTTCTTTGTCAACTCTTCTTGCTTTTAGCTTAGAGGAAGATCTTGTGATATTCCTGATTGAAAAGTAGAATGAATAGCTGACTCACTTGGGAGTCCTCACCTTTCAAATTTTTTTGTTTTTGTCTCAATTGTCAAGGAAGAATGGTAGTTGTCAGCAAAACTGTTTCCTTCCTTGAAAGAGCTCTCAATGGCATGCACTGAACCCAAAATTCCTTAATGAGGAACAAGTTTCCCCTTGAGGTAGCAGAGGGAGTTGGGAGCAAAAGGAAATGCTCACCCCACTTTGTCTAATCTTCCTATAGAGAATAGCCCAGAAATAAATTGAGATTATACATTAATAATACTAGAGATTTACCTTGGCTTAACCAATGAGGCAGAACAAAACTGGCTGCTGTTTTGAGCATCAGAAGGAAGAAGAAATTATTTAACTGTGGAGCAAAGGAAGAAATGAAGTTCTATGGCTGATAAACTGCACTCCTGCTCTCCCGAGAAGAGGCCACTCACTAGAATTTCATTGTGTAACCCATTCAAGCATGTAATCAACTTTGCTTAAAGATCCGTTCTCAGCAGCCCGCTCTAACTCTCTTCTGCCTCGTGGCTTTCTGTTTCTTGGCTCATCCATCTGTGTGTTTTTTACCTTTTTTTCTTCTGTCTCTGTTGCTTTTCTCCCATGTAGGGTATTCTCTCTCTTCCTTCCCTGCTGAATTCCTTTTCTATGGCTTTGTGAGCTCGTGTTTGCCTCATGTTTTTCCCAGTCTGTTTCTCTGTCTGAATCTTTGGCTCCCTTTCTTGGACACCATCCCCTGGTCACCCAGTCTCCGTGTGGTTTCTCTCCTCAGATTGAGTCCCGGAAGCGGCTTGCCAAGACAGTGCTGGTGTTTGTGGGCCTCTTTGCTTTCTGCTGGCTCCCCAACCACATCATCTATCTGTACCGTTCCTACCATTACTCCGAAGTGGACACCTCCATGCTCCACTTCATCAGCAGCATCTGTGCACGCCTCCTGGCCTTCACCAACTCCTGTGTGAACCCCTTTGCCCTGTACCTGCTGAGCAAGAGCTTCAGGAAACAGTTCAACACTCAGCTCCTCTGCTGCCGGCCTGGCCTGATGAACCGGTCCCACAGCACTGGCAGAAGTACCACCTGCATGACCTCTTTCAAGAGCGCCAACCCTTCAGGGGTTACCTTCAGCCTCATCAACGGGAACATCTGCCATGAGGGGCACGTGTAGGCCGGCCTTTGGCCCTGGCCCCTGGGGGCTCCTCATTTCTCTATATGGTTGGCCAGGAGCCCTGAGCCTGTTGCCTTTGCACCCTCCAAAGACCTTTCAGAAGGCTCTGGAGTGGGGCAGGCGGGTGGGAGCAGCCCAAGGGGATCACTATTGGGTTTCAAAGTGAGCTTTTAAGGCTTACATTTCCCCTTTCATAGGCCTCACAAGCAAGTCTTACCTTCCCCAGTGAATGCTTCTTTCCTTCTTTCTTCCTTCCTTCCATTCTTCCTTCCTTTCTTTCTTTCTTTCTTTCTTTCTTTCTTTCTTTCTTTCTTTCTTTCTTTTTTGGTACGGGGATCAAACTCGGGACCTTGCGCTTGCGAGGCAAGCGGTGGCACTACTGAGCTAAATCCCCGGCCCTGTGAATGCTTCTTCTGGTGGAGAACAAACTTTCCCTTTTTTAGAAAAAGGAACAAATAGGAAGTTATTATGTTAAGCATCAAGCCCAGATACCGTATACAGCTTTGACTAATTAAATCATAGACTCTATATGAACAACTAGCTTTGTTTAGCAGAGAAACCATGCATTGACTACTTTGGGAAAGACCTCACCTTGTCACCGCTTTAAGCAGAAGCTAATACTTTAAAAACATGACTTGACATCTTTTTCAGGAATATCGCTGTACATAAACTGAGAAACAACTGTCATTTGCATTCCTAACACGAAAGCCAACCCTTTGAAAGAGCCTCCTGTATGAGAAGCAGTCCCCAAATTTATAATAATGGAAGCTAGTTTAACGTAAGACAAATCTCTAAACATTGATTTAAAAAAAAAAGATGTGACCAAAGATATAGGAGAAACACTCAACACAAAAATTGAAGGCAAAAATACAACCAAATACATAAAGATCCACGTGTGACTGTAGGGTGGTAGTATCTAACACTTTAACTTCTTTTTTTTTATTCATTATGTTTATTAGTACATTTTAACTTCTTATTCCTTGAAGTCCTGATTGCTGTTACCCAATTTTAATCTTCATGGAGCCATTTTATCATAGAGGAAATATCCGTTAGGAAAAAAAATGAGACCATGCAATCAATTCACCAAGTATTTATAAATGCATAAAGGATAGTATTTATTCTTGGTGTACAGGTTTTGAGCCAAGTGTGTTTACTTAAATTTGACTTTGTCTACTATGGTGAAGCACTGATTTTATCATAGGAAAAAAGTGATCGCGTCTGAATGGAAATGGGACCATGTTTACAATGAAGCTGTGCTTCCCTTAAAGTTTATGGGAGAAGATGAACACAATTTCAAAAGCATGTATTGCTGTCTAAATATGTATAAGAAAGGTGTGAGGGGCTTCATTTTAAGAACTGATAACAAAAAAGAGTTAAAAAACTTAAAAAACTTAAAAAGAGTGATTATGAAATAACCTATGTGCAGAAAAAGACTGGACTGAAATCTGTTTCCTTTTTCTATGTGAGTAAGATTGGTGCTGAAAAGATTGGACTGTCAGGCCGGGGATTTAGCTCAGTAGTTTTGCCGCCTGCCTCACAAGCGCAAGGTCCTGAGTTCGATCCCTGGTACCAAAAAAAAAAAAAAAAAAAAAAAAAAAGATTGGACTGTCTTGGTTTAGAAGCCCTGATTCACATTTTTCTTGACTCAATTCTGACAGATTGCAAACCTATAGACTCACTTTTAAATGAATCCAAATATTGCAAATGTGCCCCAATATGTATTCTTTACATCCCAAGGCAATTTTAGTTCTGACTTGCTCTCTGTGGGTGAGATAGAAACAATCAGCTCTCTCTTCCACATGAAACAGATAAAAAGATTTTGGTGTCCATTGAGGAAATGCTCGTTGTCTGTGGCGCTTTAAGAGAGGACCAAAACAGTGGCAAAGATGTGTGTTTACTGTTGAATTAGCTGGAGCAAAACCTCTTCACTTCTCCTTCCCACTTGCTCTTCTGTTCTGCAGACACCTGCTTTCCTGGTAGTCCATAGTTACATCACACAGTTTGAAAAGCAAGACAGGTAGTGTAGCTGAAAGGACCAAGATTTCTTGACATTCCAACTATGTCTCTGGCTAATATGACTTTGGTTGTCAATTTCCCTTCTCTAGACTCATTTTTCCTTCTCGAGAATAAGAAGACAGTGCTGTCCCTCTATCACTAAAATTCTCTGAGTCTCATCCTCATTTCTAGTTCTGTCTCTTTGGTTTTATTTTGTTTATTGAGACGGGGTTTCACTATGTAGTCCAGGCTGGTCTTGAATTCACTGTGTTGCCCAGGCTGGTCTCGAACTCAGAACAATCCTCCCACCTCAGCCTCTTGAGTGCTGGGATTACAGGTGTGCACCACCACGCCTGGCTTCTAGTTCTCTCTCCAAAGCATTTATGTAGCCCACTCGCTTATGGTCACCCTGCTTTTGCTTCCCTTGCAAGAGTGACTCCTTGGAAACCCTTCAACCACTATTCCCTACTCATGGGCACAGTAGCACTATGAAAGGAGACATACCATTCTATTGCTTCCAGGGACTCTTTGGAGTCATGTGCATGAATGATGCTCCTTCCATGAGCTTGCAATGTTCTGGAATTAGAGCGGAAAGAAGCACAAGGAAACGTATTGCTAAATCTTCTCATTAGTCAAAGAGTACTCTTCCTACTCATCCTTCTTCAACTTCGTGTACCTATTATCTTCAACTACTGCTCCATAACTTTGCCCTTGGCTTCCTTTAAAGCTCTTGAATATAAATCACTCCATGCCTGGTTAGTTGCTCACATACATAGTATTCTGAATACCTAGATTTCTGGCATATAGAATCTGGCCACTAGTTCACACATCCCTGATCTACCTGCTTCCAGAGCCATTTGGGGAGTAAGACTCGTCTTCGTGCCTCCTGGTTAACACTGCGGTGCAGATTGTGTGACTCCTCAGCTTCTGGAAAAAGAGCGAGAATACTGAGTGCTAGCGTAGCTGTGTGTCCTCAGGCAAATCTTGCTACTTCTTTGAGACTCTTAAGTGAAAGTGCTGGAGGAGACCTTTGCCAACTAGTGACCGAGAACCGATAAAACTAATTTTGTGAATTAACTACTGGGTTGCCTCAGATTTTCTTACTAGGAAGGACTTAATTGGGCCCTTATCTAGGGGAATCAAAGTTTTATTTCACCTCAAAAACCTAAAACCTCACGAGTGAGACCCAAGACCCACGTACTGTCACCTCTCAGCAGGGCAGAGCGTGACAAGGGCTGGGACTGACATTTCACGCCTGGCTTCCAAACATAATCATGTTTAGTGCTTATGTCTTCGGTGAGGGAAAAAAAAATCAATTTTTGCTGTGGAAAGCCATCTGTGTTTATTCAATTGACAGATACTACCTTTCAATCTATCTTAAATTGAGCCTCCCTGAGGCAGGCAGCTCAACCGTGATAGATTAAGCAATAAACAAAGCAGGCTTCCCACCGACGGCTGCAGCCGATGGGGAAGGTGCAGCTGCTGTTGGGAGCGAGATTGCACAGCAAGATGATCCTTCCTGCGCAGTGCAAACAGGGCCCCTCCCTGTTGATGATTTTATGATTCCCCATAAACATGAATGGCTAAACGCTGTTCTTCTGGCTGCTCTCATGCCCCCACTGAAACTGGCTTGCTGCCTCATTAACAAGCCCTGGGTTTCCCTCTTTGTCCCCCAAACAATTGGTTTCCTCTTGGAGGATGGAGAACCCTTAGGTAAATAAACTATTTAGAGGAGGCTGCAGATGAACCAAGCTTGTCTTGTGAAAATCCACAATGAATAGAAGTAAATGAACTCCACTCTACAGCATGTACATATTCGAGTTCTAAAGTCCTTGTTTGTGCCAGCAGTAGCAGTTGGTCATTGGTTTCCGAGTCTCTTCACACTTCAGATGGTTTCCGGTAAGAGATAGCTTGGTTTGGGTATGATATGTTGAATGGCACCTCATCTGTGGACTAAAAGGTGGCTTTGTCGCCTTTCCAGGAAGCCAGATAGATAACAAGCACCCCCAGGGAACCTGACTATGTGAGTGTTGCATGAATAACATCCATTTTTATAGTGGTAAAATTGGAGGGATACAAACTTTCTTGTGCCCCTCCCATTAGGAGGAGGCTAGAGTTGGAAGAATAAGTTAGAATTAGCCCTAGGATTCTGCAGGGAATGGAGCACATTTGTCTAATTTTAACAACATTTTCATGAAGTGGATTATTAGCTAAAAACAGGAATTCTTCACTCTTTGGACCAAGCTCTCTGTGGGATTTATTCAATGAAAGCAAACTTTCACATGCTTTACTTGATTCTGTACCTGGATGGTCATTCCAGTCCCACCCGGGAACCATGCCACCACATCGCAAATATTGTGCGCTCTCTTCCTATAACTCTGGCCTCCAAAGAGGCCCTTTGTTAGGTGATGATGGGACAAGCATTAGTTCCAGCTAAATATATCCAGAGCAATCAACAAATAAGACACTGAGAACAAATTTTTCTAAAACCTCACATCAGTAATGCATTCAGTGGAATTTAAATAATTTTTTTAAAGTTTCAATGAGGCACATATATTAAATTGAAGAGCCTCTGGGTCAGAATATTACATGTCCATGATTAATTCAAAAGAATACATTGCATTCCCCTAGTGTTCGCGGTCTATAAAGCACTGTTGCACTCATTACATCTGATCCAAGCCTCCTCCCCCGCTGGCCAAAGAGCTGCTTTACATCCTTTACTATGGGCATCTATAAATATTAAATTCACTTACTAGTGACCATTAGATTAAAAGGCCCATGAAACTATGAGCCCAAAACCTGAAACCGTCAATCTTAGAGCATATTTGATTTACGAAAAGGCAATTTCATCTAGTTCAATTTAATCCGATTTCATTTTGTTCTGTTATGCTTTATTCTCACGGCCCATTTTGGGACATGGAAGAACAGTGCTGATCATTGCCTCCCAGTTTACAGGATATTCTGCTGCCCCCAGAAGTGAGTCTGTTTAACTTGGCACAAGGGAGGAACAGAGTCATCATTGGCTGCAAGAGAGGCATGTTAGTGGGAACAATATTCCATGTCACAGTGAAATGGAAGGCCCAGAAGGGTGGGATCCTTGGGAGCAAAAACACAGGCCACAAAATGTGTTGCATTTGTCCCAAACCTGCATGGAGTCCTGTGGCTCTGGACATACTGGGATGGAAATGACTCAATTTTACCAAGCACCATCGTGCAAAGTGCAACACTGGACATATAAAGTGGCGGCTCAGGAAGATTACTTAGTGATCCTAAGGTCACATGGCATAGTTGAAAGGTACAATATAAATGTGAAGCTGACTCGAGTCCACATCCATACTATTGCTCAGCACTGCTTTGCAAACTTAGCCTGTGAGAGAAACTCAGTTAACAGTACCTAATAGAAAACTCTGTTCCTTACTCTACGTTTGGTCCAGCTGCCTGGGCCAGTGATGGAGTCCAAGAATACACACACAACATGCATCCAAACACAGAGGTTAGGGACTTCTTGAAGGCGAGGCTGAAAAGCAGTACCACATTGCTGAGTGGGAAAGTACAGTTGTTTGTACCCTCAGCCCATGCAGAGACTCGAGTCAGTGATGAGCAGAAGCCTTGGGGAAAATTTTCCACTTGTGACTAATTGAAGAGAGAAACAAAACTTGGTGAAGGACTAAAAGAGAGGACCCACGTAAAAGCAGTCCTTCTCTGAATCAGGATTAGCTGGAGAAAAAGTGTCAGGAAAAGGTGGAGTTGCCATGTGGATGGTTTTGTGGGACCTGGGGACCCAGGCTACGTGAATATTTTCTAATAGAAAATACCTCTTGGACTAGGGTGCCAGGTGAGGAACTCAGGTACGGAATTAGGAATCTGAGTGCCCAGCCCTGGGTGCCCTGTTACTGACCAGATACTACCCTCTCTCTGCCTTCTGTGAGTCCATATGTTTCTAGATGATAAGATGTATTTCTCCTCCAAATTCAAAATTCATTCCCAGAGTCATACAGTGATAAGAAAAGACTCTCATAATTTTATGGTCTTTAAAAAGAATCATTTTAATAAGACCTCATGCATTCAAGACCTCACTAAGTCTCAGAGAACTCAGGACTTCAGTATTTAAGTAAGGAACATTATATAATTTGGGCCTCTTGTAAATGCAAATTTTTCATCACTTTGCTTCAATTTTAGCTACTGACATTGACAATGCACTTGCAACACTAAAGAAGTAAAACTGATTCTCTTTTACAAATTTTTGCTGTAATCTGGGTTTTACTGATTTGAATATGCCCTTTCTTGTATTCAAGTTGCTAGGGTTTGGGGGGTAGGATTTGTTGAAACAGTCAGTTCGATGAGTTGTAAAAATACATGGCACAGACGTCTTTAATGTCATCTTATGTCTTGTTTTGAATATATTTTGTAAAGTATAATTGTATGTGTTACTATTAACTATAAATATTTATTGTGTTGAAAAATGTACTCTGTTAAATAACTCAGAACAAGTTCCAGGTGTAAATAGTGTCATGACTTGGCTTTGCCTAGACTCCGTGGACAAATGAGTTATTTATAAGAAATTCAAAATATTAATATGAATGATTCAGATCCTTTAAATATGCAAACCTAACTGTGTGGCCATGTAAAATGCTATCAAAGCGTGCCCTTGGATTTAATATTTAGTTTTCAAGAAATGCTTCCAATACTTCTATCACATTGTATGTGGTCTATATGACATTAGGTCAAATCCAGTGTAGTAAGCTGAATGTTTGCATCATAGAAGATAAGAAATTGGTGTCATTCCTTAATATAATAAAGCATAATTTATGAAACAGACCAATGCATGTATCTAATGTTCAATAAAAAATAACTGTTGCATGAATGTGCTCTGTGGCTATGTGTCCCTCATTTCCTGGATGCCTTGGGCTGTCTACTTCAGAATCAGTTGGGCTGCTTGTTGCAATACACCGATTCTCCAATCTTCTATTGACTTGGAACACCTGAAGTCTACATTTAAAAATCAGCATCCCAGGTGATTCGTCAGAACTAAAGTTTTATTTTGTTTGGTTAGATTTTTTTAAGTATGTATTTACCTTTTGAATAAGTAAGCTATTCTTATGGTTCAAAGTCAAAAGCATGGAAATTTATCCAGTGAAAAGTTATTCAACGGTCATTGTCCCTTATCCTCAAAATTTTCAGCACCCATCACCACCTTTCTGCAGTTGGTGACCACTGTTATGCTGTTATAAGTTCCTTCCTGTGGACACTAGGACATTCTTTACACATCTGCAAATAAAAACAGATATGCATTTTCTTGCCTTCTGCCACTATTTTACAGGAATGGTAGCATATTCATTGTTTTACCCCTTTATTTTACTACATACCATATAGTGAAGATCTTTCTATACCAGTATATAAAGTGCTTTCTCATACTTTCTTGCACCTGCATAATACATCCTAATTTATTTACCCATCCTCTTTGATGAACATTTAGGTTGTTTCAATATTTTGCTATAATCAACCATGTCACAATGAATAACACATATCATTTCATGCATGAGCAAATATTGCTGTAGGAAAAATCCTGAACGTTGAATTGTAGAAATAAAGACTATATGCTTTTGTAATTTTGATAGTCATTCTAAATTACTTTCCTTAGGACTTGAATACTAAATTTTGAAAGCCCCAGCTTTGAGGATTATGCTAAGAATCAGAGAGCAGGAAAGCTTTTAAAACTTATGAATCAGAGTGAGGAAATCTGGCTGATAGTTCCAGATGTTTAGCCTACTCCCTATCTGAATGCTACTTTTGTTTCTTTCCATCTAGCCAACTATTTATTGTGGGAAAAAAAAAGGAACAGACTGGAAGGTGGGATTTTGAAAGACAGTGAGGACAAATGGCACTTACTTCATGAACTATTTCACTCACGCCTGAGGGATCAATGGTCAGGAAGCAAATTCTTTCTCCCTCTGTCACTAGTCCCACTATATGAAGTCTGTGCAGTGATTTAGGCAGAGATCAAGTCTTCGGGAATATGTAAAATACTCAAGAGCAAACATAAGGCAGCACCAGAAATACCACAGTCCTGAAGTTGCGAATAAAGGAGCGCTATGGTTTGAGAGTAGCCCAAGGCCTCGTGTGTTGAAACTTCATCCCTGCTGAGAAGTAATAAGAGGATGGAAATGTAATCCAGCTGTGATATTCAGAGATGGGGCCTTGGGGGACAGTAAGGATTACATGAGGCCTTCAGGGTGGAGCCCCCATGACTGAATCCCAGTGGCTTTATGAGAAGAGGGAAAGAGAACAGAACACACACACACACACACACACACACACACTCCCTGTCTCTTGCCATATGATCTCTTACTCCCCTTTGGACTCTGGCATCAAAAAGGCTATCACCCTTGACCTTGGACTTCCAGAAGCATGAGCTAAAATAAATCTCTTATCCTTATGACACTCAAGCTATGATATTGTTATTGGCAATAGAAAATGCACTAACACAAGGAGGTTGACAGGCAAGAAATAGCACAGCTTCAGTGAACGCATATAGCAGCTGTCAAAGCTCCCTGTTCCCAAGCAAGAAGAGGTAACACCAGGGCTGCCTCTCAGATGCAGTCAACAAACCCCTTGGGGTGGTACACTGACAGCTGTGCAGAGGGGCACCTGAGTGCAGTGCTGTGTGTAACCACCACCATGGGGTCATCTAGGGAGAAGACCCTCTTCCCCCAGGTATCTTATCACCCCCCCACACTCTACCCTCTTGATTTGCAGCATGTCCAACTGTCAAGATTTTAAACAGCCAAAGGTGGTCATAACTGTGCCTGAAGTGGACCTTGCGTCTCTGGTTTTTGTGGATTAGATGGAACGATGGACAAGCAGAAATCCTGAAGATATTCAGAATTAAAAAGCCAAACTGACATTTATAGTTTGTCCACACTAATTGCTCAGAGATCCTTCTGAGGCCCAAGTGAGTTTTTCTAGTAGGAAGCATGGACTTTCTTTGTAAGCATTCTGCGTACCATATCAGAAAAGAAAGCTTTATTCATGCAGACTGTAATATGGAAAATTTAATATTCTCTTAGATTATCGAAGTTGGAAGGCACCCCAGAGAATACCCAGACACACCCTCTTATTTCACAAATGAAAAAGTTAAAGGAAAATGCCATAATTTGTGTCTCTGCTCAGTTATCAGAATTTAGAAAATGAAAACTAATTGGCTTGGATATGATGTCAACGAAGTGGGCAGAAAGTCACCAGTCCTTTCTGCCAGAGGGAAGGCAAGTTGAGGCAGGTCTAGGTTGTAATGCACCAGGCACCCTTTCTGGGCTCAACAGTGCTAAACAATGGCTTTTAATATGAGAGAGAGAGCACTACATCTTGTCAAGGAAACAACACAAAAGCTAGCTCCTGCCCCTTGAGCTGTGCTCAATATTATAAAGACGAATGTTTATAGCAGCACAACTGAGAATAGCTAATTTAGGAAATCAGCCAGTAGACCCAGCAACAGATGATCAGATGACAAAAATGTGGCATATATACAACAATAGAGTACTACTCAGCCCTAAGGAAGGATAAATTTAAGTCATTTGTAGGAAAATGGATGCACCTTGAGACCATATTGCTAAGTGAAATACATAAGACACAGGGGGTTAAATATCACATGGTTTCTCTTATATGAGAAACCCAAAATATAAATAATTTAAAGAGCAAAATGAAAGACAGATAATAGGAAACACGGAGGTCGATCTTGAGACAGTGAGGGGATCTGAGGATGGGGGATGGCGAGAGGCAAAAGGGGAAGAAAAGTCAAAATGACGACGCAGCGTGCATAGATACCAGTTCCCCAAGATGCATGCGATCACTGTGGATCACGAACATATACTAATAGAAAAAGGAAATTTAAAAAGAGAAAGCAGCTTAGGTACAATGTAACAAAACCAGTACAGCTATGTTCCAATAAATCAGTATTTGCAAAAACAAGAGCAGGCTAAATGTAGCTTGAAAGTTGTAGTTTGCTGATCCCTGCATGAAGCTAATATAACTCCTCTGATTTTCTGGGGTTTTTACAAGTCCTTTCTTTCTTCCTTTCTTCCTTCCTTCTTTTCTGTTTTTGGTGGTACCAGGGATTGAATTTAGGAGCTTGCGCCTCCCAGGCAGGCGAAATGCGGCTGAGCCACATCCCTGGCCCACCTTCCTTTTTTTCTTCCTTCTTCCTTTCCTTTCTTTCCTCCTTGCATCTTTCCTTCCTTCCTGCTTTTGTTCTTGCTTTCTTTTCTGTCCCTCGTTTCGATTACGGTGCCCGAACTAATGAGAGAAAAGCAGAAAATGCCCTTTCTGGAGCCCTGCCTTGTCAGTTTCTCACAACCACAGCCTACAGCACCAGCCACCAAAGTGAAGCAGGAAGAGCTAAAGCTCATTGATTCTGCCTTTTAGGCAACTATTAATATTTATCTTACTTATAATTCCCAGTAGAACTGTCAAACCACGAGATTGGCGGGGGGGGGGGGGTTGTAAAAAGAATCAAGATGTACCTGTACTAACTCCCCAGGATGAATGTAATCATTATGTGCTAATAAAATTTTAAAAAGATGGTATCTTCTGCAAATAGAAACCCCCCCACAAAACTGCTCTTTGTGGTGCGCAGACTCACTGGCCAACAGCGAAGCTGCTTTCCCGTGCCAGGACGGGTTTTCCAGCTGTACCTGAGTCCCTGCTCCAGGGCCGTGGGCCTCTGAGTGTCTCGAGAAGGTTAATGAGGAGCAAGCAACTGAACAGAGGTCAGCCTCGGTCAAGAGGCAGCTGTCCAATTAGCGAAGCCAAACAGCAGGAACGTGCAATGACTGGCAGCACCAACTAACACTGCCCTCATTTGCCATCCTAAAAAAGATTACGGCCACTGCAGACAAGAGAGAAAGGGGCCGTGGCTCCTGGGCCTCTCACCACAGAGCGGTGACTGCTCTGAGAGCTGCTTAATGCACATCCCAGGGAGTGGTCAACCCCACCGAAGGGATTCACTTTAATTAGGAAATATTCTGGGGAAAGCCATAGAAAGACTTTTTTTTTTTTTTTTTTTTTTTGCCAGTAGCTGATTTAAAATAAAACTACTCCCATCCTGTCCCACTCATCCCAGTCTGAGGCAGATCTGTGTCTCTTCATTCACTTGTCCTTTCCTTATTCCACACTGTATCTCCAGTAATGAGAAGATAGACACTGTATAAAAACTACTGGCTGGGAATCCATACCCAGAGCAGTAAGAATAGCAAAATAAATGAGAGGTATGAGTAATAAAAAGGAAGAGATGATCTATGGTGACCAGACTCATCTACACATGCAAAGTCAGCTCACCTGAAAAGACAGGCCTCACAAAAATCATGTGGCTCTGCCATTGTTCTGTAGAAAGTGAATTTCTTAGAGTAGAAGTTACCACTGAGGCTAAGTCTGGGTGGTGAAGAGGACTAGATCAGCTGGCCTTGACAGTCTCCTGGCTGTCCTGGGCCCCCTGCCTTGGGATACAGTTTCTTCATCTGCCACCATGCCTCGGGCAAGGAACTATGCTCTGTGAGGTTTGTAGTGAGGAAACTGCTCAACCATTTACAGGTATCTGGCATTTCCCAGGAAACTTTTAAACAACGGGACAGGAACCAAGATGTGGGGCCCTGCATAGGAAAAGGAGGGAGACCACATCCCAGAATGTAGGGGTCCCAGGCACCAACCTATTGCTGTTTTCAGATCTTGATAGCCACAGGCACAGCTGTGAGACTGAGCACCCCAGTTATCCTTCGGGTCCTCAGAAACATGAGAGGCTTGATCAAAGGAGGATAAACCCAAGTCAGGAGAGGAAGGACTTTGAGCATCTGATAGATATCCAGGTGACAATCCCAGAGGATGAATCGGGGAAGAACCCAGCCAGAAGAGTGAGATCCCATAGGACTCCCCACATACACAAACACACACACTCTGGCCATCAGCCCTTGGAGGTCTGGGACAGTTGGGCTGGATTTGACTCATCTTGGCTCCAGCTTTGTGGTCCCAGGAACATTATGGCTTCACTCTGAGGTGATCAGCTTGAGTCTACTGAGGGAAGAGTCTCAAGACTAGTGGGATAAGGAGGTGGGAAATCTTAGGAGGAAGGAGAGAACCACCTGTCCGGAAGCACCATGAACTCCCAGTTCCCCCACCCCTATTGGATCCTGTCCCCCTGTGATCTAAGAAATCCAGTCAGAATTGTCAGGTTGAGACCTAGGATGTCTCAAGGAGAGGAGGGTCTTCATCTAAAGAGGGCACCCTCCCAGGTAGGTAGAAAGTGGAGCCCCACTAGGTGATAGGAGTCAAGGTAGGTATCCTGAGTGACATGAGGGAACCACCACCAGAAGACAGGATCACACATTCCCAACACGCTAGTTTTAGTCTTACCAGGTGGAGAAGAATGCTCCTTATTTCTGCCTGGAAGTATAAGGAGGGAAATGATTATCAAAGAGTTTAGCTGAAGGAGATCTAGACTGTAATCGGAGCCAGTGGGGTTCCTGAGGATGAAAGAGAGGGTCTTTCTCCCAAGAAAGGTGACCACAGCCCTATCCCTCATCCTCAGGACTGGAGTCCCAGGCAAGGGTAGTCAGATGTAAGGTCTCCCGAATTCTCCAGCTGAGGAGGTGCAGAGGGTTGATGTTGGTCGTCTGAGTTCAATAGAAGGAAACATCCCAGGCATGGATGAAGGGGTTCTGTGGGGCTACATGGAGTCCCGCTCCTGTGGGCTGTCCAGAAGTCTTCAAGAGACCCTGAAGTCTTGGCCAGATATGGCTCACTTTGCTCTCTACTTTGCAAGTTTCAGGAAGGTGAAGACACGAGGGGGGCAATATTTAGTCAGTGCAATTCCAGGGTTGCTCAGGTAGCAAGGTAAGGGTCCTGGATGTGGGCTGAAGGGGCCACCTTACCCTTAGGGAAGGGGACACAACAAAGTTCTGCCCTGGCATTAGCACTGAGAGACCCACAGCAAGGCTGTTAGGTTTACATGTCCATAAGGCCATCCTGGAGGGGACAGCCTTGGTCTAAGTGTGACAGCACCAGTTGTGCTGAGAGAGAAGTTCTGGGCCCTAACTGAAGCCTAAGAAGAACCGGACTATTAATGTGGGGCCTCATTTCTCAAAAGAGGTGTCCGATCGGAATCCCTCTCTTTCTGCCAGCCCTGGGAACCCTAGGCAGGGGTGGCCAGATGTGGTAGGTACAAGCTTCAACTCTAGTAACTCGAGGAAGCCACAGCCTGAGTGGCTGATGGTGACCCTGCAGTGGAAAGCAAAGTTTCAGGGTCGGATTGATACTCGTGGGGTGCCGTAGATGCCCGCCCCGTGCCCCGCAGCCTTGCCCGGATGTAGTTCGCTTGCTTCCTTCCTCTTGAAGTTACCGGACAGCGAACACGTAGGTCTAAGCGGTGGGACCTCAAGTCAGTGACCAGGAAGGCTTCGGGACTGCTCAGGTGTCAAGGTAAGGACTATGAATGTGGACGGAAGGGATCACCCTCACATGGCCAGGGGATGGGTCACGGCTTGCGCCACCGTGTTGCTGTCCCTCCCCCCTCGCACCCCAACTGCCACCCGCATGGCTGCCGCTGCCGCTGCCGCCTTTGTCACAGGAGACCCTGGGGAAGCTGTGGCTTTGACTTCTGGCTGCAGGACCTCTGAAAGCAGACAGCTTAGTATAAACGGGTAGCAGGGTGAAAGAGACCTAGGGCCCCGGCAGGAGTGAGAACCCTGAATGCTAATGGGACTTCTCAAAAGAGGGAGCCAAGGCCAGGTGTGGTGGCACATGCTTGTCATCCCAGTACTCAGGAGGCTGAGGCAGGAGGATCACTGCAAGTTCGAGGCCACCCTGGGCTACATAGCAAGACCCTGTCTCAAAATAAATAGAAATAAAGAGGAGCCAACTAGAGCCAGGCTCCTGCTATCAAGATGGGGAGATCTCTGGCAAGTATGGCCAGATGTGGCATGCCTAGACTTACCCCCCGGCAACTCCGGAGGTGAAGGCTGTCATCTGGACCTGGCTGACTTGGTCCTAGGAGTGAAGAGTTGGAGGTCTTACCCTGAGTCAAGGTTGGAACCCATGGTAGACAGCAGAAGGGTCCCACAGAGCCCCACTCCTGCTGTGTGGCACTGTCCTCCCTATCAGTCTTTTTTTGTTTTTGTTTTGTGTTGTTTTGTTTTCTAAGATAGGATCTTGCTATGTACTTCAGGCTGGGTTTGAACTCACTGTGTAGCCCAGGCTGGCCTTGAACTCGAAGCAATCCTCCTGCCTCAACCTCCTGAATGCTGGGATTACAGGCGTACACCACACGCCCATCTATCCCTGTCAGTCTTGAAAGGATGTGGTTTACCCTGAGCTTCCAACCCTTGAGTTCCTGTTTAAGCAAGGACCTTGGTATGAGGAACATGGTCTCGGGTCAGCTGAGGATAGAATCCCAGGACTGGTCAGGTACCAGGGTGAAGACCCTGAGTTAGAAAATGGGGACCTTTTGGCTCCCACTGGAGAGAGCTGAACTGAGCTCCGCCCCTTAGGTTAGCCCTGGAAGGTCCAGCTGACAGGCTCAAGGGCCCTGACTTCAGCCTTTGCGTTTCAGTAGATAAGGATCTTGGCTTAAGGACTGGCTGCCCCAGCTCAGCAGAGAGAGCAGTCTCAGTCTCTTTGGGGATCAAAGGTAAAGATCTTATATGAGGAAGCCTCATAGTCTCACCTCTGCTGTAGGCCAGGGGAAGCCATGGGCAGAGCTGTTAGGATGAGATGACCCCTCATTTTCTGAAGGAGAGGTGGTATGTCAGAAAGATGGACTCATTGCACTGATGGGTGAGGCCCCATTCACCAGGAGACAGTGCTAAGAGGGGTCAAGGTGAGAATGCTTCGTGAGATGAGGGAACCCCTCCCGGCTAGAAGTAGCCATGTAGAGCCCACACCTCCTGTCATATCTGGGAGCCCCAGGCATATTGACTTGGTGATACACACTCATTTCCTCAGGGGATCTCAGGGAGGCAGCGAACTTTGGGTTCAAGGGGACTGCTTCAGGTTGGAGGACTCAGGTGGGTTGAGGGACAAGTCCCATATCCTGGCTGAGTGAGCACTAACAGGGCCACCAACCCCAGGACATCAAGAGACACCAGGAGTCCAGATCTTGCTACCAATCCAAGGAGACCATGAGCAGGGTGGTCGGTCAGAGGTGATCCATGCTGTCTTCATCTTTTCAGGAAGTGGAGGACCTTGACCTGAAGGAAGAGGCCTTAGATGAACAGAGGGTGCTTTACAGGTTGGGCCAGGACCCTGAAAAGCATGGCGACCCCTACCCCATATTAGCAGAGACCACAGAATCTCTTCCTGTGGTAGCTCTGGGAGGCCCCAGGCATAGATGTCAGGCCAAGGCTTCCTGGGTTTCTCTTCAGGTGAAACAGGGAAGTGAGTGGTTCCAGACGGGGCTGGTTTACAGTTTAAGGTCCCCTGTTGCCTCCTCCACACGGTCCACAGAGGGGGCTGATGGGGAGAATAGGAGCCTTGTGGCATCCTAGAGCAGGGCTCTCGAGGACGCCTGCACAGGGCCCTTTTTTTTGTCTTATTCATATATGTTTGTCATACATAATGAATGCATTCATCTCGGGGAGTTGGGACATGTATAGATCGCATCTTAGTCCTTGTCACTGCCCCTCCCCCTCGCCATCCATTGCTAGGTCCCCTTCCCAACTGCAAAGGGTACACTTCCCACAGGGGCCTTCTTAAAGCACGGGGCTCACACCCCCTTGTCCTCCACCTCCAGGTGCCTACGGCCGTGCCCTCCTGCTGCAGTTCCTGCACACAGCCACCATGCCTCGTGGTCAGAAGAGTAAGCTCCGTGCCCGTGAGAAACGCCGCCAGGTCCGAGAGGAGGGTCAGGGTCTCCAGGGTGCTCAATCCCCTGCAGTGGAAGAAGGAAAGTCACCTTCCTTGTCCTCTGCTGGTCAGGAGAGTGCTTCCCCCAGCATCTGTGCTGCAGGCGGTCCCCAGGGGCCGCAGGGAGCCCAAGCCGCCAGCTCTTCTGCTGCAGCTCTGAGCTCGGATAAAGGTGCCAGTCACGCAGAGGAGCAAAGCCTGGGCCTCATCAGCCTATCCGCCCTGGAGAAGGCCAAAAAAGATCCTCTGGGCAGGGTGGTGAACATGCTGATGCACTTTCTGCTATACAAGTACAAGATGAAAGAGCTCATTGTGAAGGCAGATATGCTGAAAGTCATCGACAGAAAGTATAAGAAGCACTTCCCCGAAATCCTCCAGAAAGCCACTGATCGCATGGAGCTGATGTTTGGCCTTGACCTGAAGGAAATAGGCCCCACTGGTCACTCCTATATCGTCATCAGCAAGATGAGCCTTTCCAGCGAAGGAAGTGGGAGTGAAGACAGGGGCTTTCCCAAGAATGGGCTCCTGATGCCGCTCCTGGCTGTGATCTTCATGAATGACAACTGTGCCACCGAGCTGGCTGTGTGGGAGATCCTGAATATGTTGGGGGTGTATGATGGCAAGAGGCACTTCGTCTTTGGGGAGCCCAGGAAGTTCATCACCAAAGATCTGGTGCGGGAAGAGTACCTGGTGTACCGCCAGATTGCAGGTAGTGATCCTCCCTGCTACGAGTTCCTGTGGGGTCCCAGAGCCTATGCTGAAACCAGCAAGATGCAAGTCCTAGAGTTTTTGGCCAAGCTCAGTAATACGGTTCCCAGTTATTTCCAGTCCCAGTATGAGGAAGCCCTGAGAGAAGAGGAGGCAAGGGCCCAAGCCAGAATTGCAGCCAGAGCTAGCAGAGCTCTTGCCACCAAGGCCAGGGCCAGCAGATCCTCCCAGCATTAGTGTGAGCTCGGGGCCAGTCTCAGTTGCAAGTAGTGGGGAGCAAGGTGGGGGGCTTGGGGGACCAAGGTGAATATTTTGTGTTTCTGTTATTCATAAGTACTTGTGGATTTATGTCCTATTTTCTGTTTTTCCATTGCACTGTTTTTTAAAGAGTTTATTTAGATTTAGGATCTAAGTTTATGAAAGATATGGATCACCTGTTCCTGTTTACTAAGTTTACTATATTGTAAAATAAATTGAAAAGCTTAAGGACCTCTGTTGTTACCCAGTACAAGAAAACACAGCATTGGAATAGAGATTTTAAAACGTAAGAGAACCCCAAAGAGAAGTAGTTGGGATCATAACATGGTGAAGAAAAGTAAAAAGAGGTCAATTCCTGGTTTGTCTTACTTTGTTTAGTCTTTTAGTAAATTTAAAAGATATGTACCTGGATTTGTTTAGCTTATTTAAGAATGTGGAAGGAATTAAATCATCATAAATGAGAACTTGTGTTCCCTGCCTCTTTTGTTCTCCAAAGCATCTGCTCTCTGAAAGGATTCATGCTGGTTATAGGGAGACACCCAGAGATGGACAGAGGGGAGGGAAGGAAGGGAAAAGGGATAAAAAAGAAAAGGAATTAAGATGTGTTCTGTACATGTACCAATTCCCCACAGGGAATGTACACATTATATGCTACAAACACACAGTAGTCCCTGCCAATGCCATTTTAGAGTCCCAGGATCAGCTGTCATGAGAAGAAAATGGTGAGTGATGCTATGAAACTGAAAGACAGCAAAAGGAAGGAAGGAAGAGGGAGGAGGTTCCAGACTGGAGCAAGCCTGTGTTGATGTCCCGGGACAAGGCAGGTTGGCAGTGTGGGAAGCTACCTTTCCCCTGAGGGAGGGAGTTGAAGTCAGCTGGCAACGAGGGTAGAGGAAGCTGGTAAGCAGGACCAGACTTTACGAGGCCGGGTCGGAGTGGAGAGAGCACGACTGCAACAGAGAACTGCTCATCTCCTGCGGGATGTGGTAAGCCAGAGGGGACCCCGACCTGGGGCGGGCTGAGGAGGACCACCGTGCTCGGCCCCATGTGGGTGAACGCAGTGCAATCAGCAGGTGTCCTGAGCACTGGGTGTCAGGGTTTCTGAGGACATGGGTGACACTTGGGTGGAATCTCAGCACCTCTGGCGCTGGCCCTCTTTGGCTTGGCTTGGGGAGCAGGACTGCTCCATTCAAAAGGAACCCAAATTGGGTCTTTGTCCAAATAATACAGCCAACTCCAAGCAAGATGGAGATTTTTGATGGTGGTGAAATGCAAGGAAATAGAGATGGGTTAAGTGCAAGGGCAGATCAGAGGGAGAAAACCTTTTGGTCCTTTGCACTCCTTGTAGCGGCTTTGTGATAGGTGTAGCTGGGGAGGCCTACCTCGCACTCCTCCGGGCTCAGGCCACTGCAGCGGCGGGAGGGAGGTCCGTGTCCTCCTCCTCCCCATTTTGGGAGTGCTTCCCAGACCATCCGCAGTGACACCTCTCACAACTCTTCAGAAGCCTCGGGGAACTCTGATGCCACCACTACTTCTACAGGTGTTTCTCACACAGGGCCCTTCGAGGGTACCAACAGCAAAAGGGAGGAAAGGACAAGCCCCTCCCCTCCAGCCAGTATGAATAGGTCACATCAGTGTTCACCAGAGCGAGGAAGTCCTTTTGAAGCAGCTATAAGGACCCAGGTAAAGCAGACATGCTATGAGATGTCTTCTCGTTTCTAACGAAGGTCGAATTTATCACGTCATTTTTTCTTTCTGCAGTACTGGGGCTTGTACCCAGGGGTGCTCTGTCTCTGAGCTCCATCCCCGGCCCTTTTATTTTTTATTTTGAGACAGGCTCTCACTAAATTGCCTGGACTGGCCTTAAACTTGTGATTCTCCAGCCTCAGCCTCCCAAGCCCCCGAGACTACAGGCATGTGCCGCCATGTTCAGCTGTTACATGAGTTTTTAAATCAACCGAGAAGGCACAAAAAAGGCAAAGATAAATGGACTTGGTCAACATACCCACAAATACTCAAAATGAGCAAAATAAAAACTGAGAGCTGCTAGGTGTGGTGGTGCACTCCTCTAATCTTAATCCCAGCACTCAGGAAGTTGAGGCAGGAGGATCACCGTGAGTTCGAGGCTAGTCTGGGCCCCATAGTTCAGGACCAGCCTAAACTACATAGCTAGAACTGTCTCAAACAGAACAAAACAAAACAGAACAAAACAACCATAGGGGAAAATAAACCCCGAGAACTAAGATTGGGAGAACAGGACAAAGAGCTTCCTTCAGAGACCCTGGTGATGTCTCACTGGGGCTTTGGTTTGATCTCACTTTTTCCTAATGAGGTTGACAGCCTCTACAGAGATATCTAAAATCTCTACTCCTTTTTCTGTTAGGCTGGATTTTTCTATAAGTTCTTTATACATTCTAGATATAATCTTCATAGAGTTAGCTAATATGTTTTACAAATATCATGTAACACTATATGGCTTGTTGTTTCAAACTTTTAAAGAGATCTTTAAGGATTCTTCTCAAATTTATCAACACTTTCCTTAAAGTTTGGCGATTTTAATTTCTTGTTTTAAAAATCTCTCTCTACTTTGACATAATACAGTTTTCTTCTGTATGCTTTCCCCTGCACATCTTCTCTCCCTGCACATAGCTCAAATAGTATGAATCTTTGGCCAAGTTTACCCATATTCAACACTACTGAAAATCTGTCCTCCCCCAGTGACCCGCTGGGATTCTAGCTTTGCACATGAGTGTGTCACAGAGTTCTGTGTGGTGTCTGTGTCTCCCTGAGCCAGCACCACCTTGCTGCTTTCCCGTGAGCTCTGTTGCCTGGCAGTGCAAGGCCCTTCCCCTCTCTTCTGTTGTGAATCTTCTTCCTCTTCCTGCTCCTTGAGTTCTAACAACCAGCTATCAATTTCCAAAGGCCTTGGAACTTTGATTGCTACAAATTAGATTCGAGATAAATTGGAAGAGACCTATATACCTTCACAGTACTGAGCTGTCCAGTTTATGAATTTGGCAATCCTCTCTAATGATTTAAAATTTCTTTAATAATTTTCACTTTTGGGGGGCACATTTTAGGTATGCAATATAATGACATTCATCATTGAAGATTTGTACCTTTACATAATATATCTTGATTCTTATCATAAATTTCACTTAAGTTTTAAAATTCATTCCACATTATTTGATTTTTTTGTTTTTTGGGTACCGGGAATTGAACTCAGGACCTTACACTTGATGGCCACTGAGCTAAATTCCTGGCCCACACATTGTTAGATTTAATTTGTGGTGCATAGAGTTTTGATGCTATTATGTATGGGAATCCTCCCCTTCTAAATTTGTTAATTGATAAAAGGAAATGATATTTTATATATATATATATATATATATATACACATAGAGAGAAGTATAAACATATATATTACTTTTTATCAAGGATGGGAAGGAGACAGGAAAGAGTATACTAAGATTGCTTCATTAGATAGATTTAATATACACACATATAAAATCAAGTAATATTAAACTCTCCTACTGATTTTCATCCATATGTACCTGGCTGAGGCTTTTCTATAAATGTAATCACATCCCCTGTGAACAATATTTTATATCTTCCTTTCCAATTCTTCTTCCTTATGTTTCTTTTCCTTGGCTGACTGTACCAACCAGTATCAGCACAGCACTGAGATATAAAATTAGTGACTTTTGACTTATAAAAACAGCAATTTAGCATATTTTAACCTACTGGTGCTTTTATATTAAGGTAGCTCACTTCCATTAGGATTTTTTTAAAGATTTGGAATTTTTAAAATTATGAATGATGCTGATTATTTCAAATATTTTTTCTGCATCTATTGAGTTGGTATATAAAATATTTTTAAGGCTTGGTAGTAGATTACAATGTAGCAGATTATGATGATTGATTTCTAAATACTAAGTCAATGTTGTGTTTCTAGATTAAAATGAAAGCAACATTTCCTGTTTAGTATTTTGCATCTGTGTTCTGGACTGAGATAGCCTGTGATTTTATTTTCTTATACTGTATTTTCAAATGTTGCCTATGCCCACGTGCCCTCTCTTTACCATTTCTAATTCTGCTTTGGTGTATTGGGGGGGTTGTTTCTTTTTTTGGTTTTTGAGAAAGAATAGTTGCTTTTCTCTGATGCGTTGCAGTAAATCCCTTCAGGTAAATCTTCCAGTTTATTAGTTTTGTCTTCAAATGGGTATAATTTCTGTGACGTATTTCTTTCTTTCTAGATTTAAGAACCTGGCTGGGGATTTAGCTCAGCAGCACTGTGCCTGCCTCGCCAGCACAAGGTCCTGAGTTTGATCCCTGGTACCCAAAACATCCCCCCAAAACCCCCCTCTATCTTAAATCTTCTTGCCACTTTTCACATTTTTAAACCCCTCCAGTATGGGTCTTTAACATCATCCATTATTTCTGCAAATATAGTAATCATTAGCTATTTTATATTCTGTGCCTAACATGTAAATTCTTTGTAGGCCTGTTTCTTTGCTTTTTTGTGCTAATTTCCACATAAGGACTCATATCTTCTTGCATTTTTAATCATTTCTTTTTCTGGGGTTTGTATTCCTTCACAGTTTTATTGGCTAGAATCCTTAAAGGTCTGGAATACAGTTCTTAGCGTAGAGATAATTGGCTTTTGCTTCTATCTGTCCGCTGTGGGCCCTTATCAAACCTGTCTAAAACCACTAGGTTATTGGTTTCAGGTTGTGCCAAATACTCAATAACTGTGAATTGGGGCTGCCAGTTCTCTCAAGATCAGCTTGCAGTCACGGCTCCTCCAGGGCATCTCTTACCACGCTGCTCCATGGCAAGGTTCAGAAAGCAATTTTCCTTGCAGTCTGCCACCAAGACTGGAGTCCTCCGTGCTCCTACTGTTATGACTGGGGCCTTTTTTTAGACTCTTCCTCTTAGGCAGGCCCTTGTTTTGTTCTCCTGAAACTGTGTCGCTCAGGTTCACTTCAGTTTGGCCAGAACTCAAAATGTGAAGCCTGCTTTAGTGTTCTTACCTCTGGGTTTCCGCCTTCAAACTATTACCTTCATGTTCCTTGCTTTCTTGCCAGTTAGCAGCTGTTTCAAAATTTTTTCATCTGGTATTTTAAATTGTGTTCTGAAGGATAGTCAATCTGGAAAACTTTCATGCCTTATTACTGGCAACCAAAGTCCAAGAGTATTTTTGTATAACTATTTTGTAACTGGTTACTTTTCTATTTTTATACTTATCGAGTGTCAGTGAATATAATTAACAATATTCAGGTTCAAACTGACTTACTTCCCTGAAGAATCTGAGACAGAAGCAGAGAACCATATGTTTTTTAGCACGTAAGAAAAAACAGTGTCCTATTCTGTCCCGGCTCACCTGCAAGGATATTAATGCACATCCCAGGGTTGACTTGGTCGGTTGATATAGACC